AGGATCCCAGTGAAAGTCACGGTGACTCATTGTCTTAACGTTGCATGCACCTGCCACTGTTTATTGTGATCACTTCACTGCTACAAAACTCACTATGACTCACTGTCTAGAAACTGACTATGGTATAGTACATGTTAAGTAGTCAGTGATGACTAACATGTACATATATATATATATTTGTATTTGACAGCAAGAAGATGTATCAGTACAGTTAGAAGCTCTAGACATCCTTGGTGACTTCTCAGCAGATTTGGAGGTAATCCTTCCACAGCCATATTTTCTTTCCCTCAATAATTTTCATACTGAACCAAAAATGCAGAATTTATTCATTCACTGAATATGATTTGATCCAAATATTGGGAAGGGTCACTATATTTTATAAGTTAAAGTGAAACAGTTTGAGATTGGTCGTCAGCAATGTTTCAAGTTTAAACTCAGTCTAAGTGAATCAGCCCTTACAGTACTCCTAACCCAAAGTAATTATGTATGTTCAGTGTACATGTATATCAATATACTTGTACACATACTATGGAATAATGTTTGTGTTTATTGTGTTTAATATTGGACCCAAACTGCATAGTAACCACTTCTAACACTTGATGATGGTGGCTCAGCTCAATAAATCTATGTATGTGATATCCCATCTCCGAATCGCACAGTTTCGCTAAAGCCGGCCATTCATAACCGGCCCACGAACCCGTGCGTGATCCTGTTAGGAAAAGCTGTATTTCACTGCAGCTAAATTGAGTCATTTGATTGGGTCCCCAAGGAGTTCATCACAATGATGGCGTGTAGGCTTTGCACTGATTCAGCTGGAGTAAAGAACAGAAAGTCTATATTCGTTGACACGTTTCCAAAAATTTTTTGTGGTTAAGTAAATGAGGACGATGGAATGTCTAAATATTTGTACAAACTGTTTTAGTAAACTGACAGAACTGTCGAAACTGATAACATATCAACCCGATTCGGTCTTCGTTGCAACACGGTTGATGGACTGTGTTTGCAACAAACACGTCATTTTCCTCAGATACAGCACTAAGCGCTATCTTTTGATGATAAGTAAGCTTGTTCAGAGAAAAAGCTAGCAACACGTTTATTTGATTCCGCCATTTTAATTTTACCAAGTAATATGTAGTTTCTTTCGTTAGTTCTGATTGGGTGATGCAAATGGACTAAGTGAACTTTATAATAGTTTGAGGGCGTGTGACATATACAGTAAATTGTGGTGAAATCTGCCAAGGATTAATGTTGAGGCTTCGGCCGAATAAATGGTCCTTGGCTGGTGAAGATGGTGATATCCCCATGTGTAATACTTTTACCAGTGATCATTTTGGTGCAAAAACATAAGATAATTTTATTTTTGGTTTTGTAGGTTTGTTGGTGAGTTTCCACCCATCTATCCAGGCTAGTTTATTACCTCAACTGACCAGTCCAAGGCTTGCTGTGCGAAAAAGGTCTATTATTGCCATAGGTAAGTAGGTTCTCAAGGGGTTCCATACATTTATATACTGTGAATGTCTGGATTCTTATCACTTACCAGAACATTTGCTCATCGATAACATTGAACTAGCATGATAAAAATAAGTATTTTTAATGACAAGCTAATGTTACAAGGAAATGTAAACTTTATGGTGACCAGTATGTAATTAATTTGTGAAAGCTCATTGTATCAGTTTCTTATCCCAGCTTATTTGTCTGTCTTTCAGGTCATTTAGTTGTAAGTTGTAATAATGCCCTATTTGTTGAATTAATGGATAATTTACTATGTGAACTCAGTCAGAATGCAAGTGTTTCTACTACAAGAACATACATACAGTGTATTGGTGCTATCAGGTAAGAACATTTTGTAAACTTGACCAGTATAGGACTGTATTTGGTATTTTGTTCAATGACCATAAAAGTGTATTGATTGCTGCAAAGTATCACCTGTCTATGTGTATAGCCATTATTAAATACATGACTGGACAAGATCCCAAATCTCCATGTGACATTAGAAAATGTTTGTTGTGCTTAATGGTGACATGTCCACCCAGCATCAAGAAGAGCATTGATTCCCATGTTTGGCTGCACAGTTAGCAGTACCTTGTCATAATTAGTAGCAGGTCACCACATG